TGCCCGTATTTCCAAGCAACTAACTTTTTAATTTTCCAGTATAAAAGCAAATACAGCTCAAACAGGTCACATATTCAATTAGACAATCCAATCATCACACTTTAATTACATTCATCACAGTATTTGTTTGACCAAACAAGGTCACAAAAATGATTAGATAAAGAATCAATGGCAAAGGCATAAAGAAAAAAAACTCATTACAGAAGCACTGGTGTGGATACTTACACCCTTGTTCGGGTCAGACAGTTCATCTCTGTGCTGAAGGAAAAGGAGGCAGAAACTTGTTTGATTTGAAAGGGCCTTTGGTTTGTGCATGTCAAGAAAAAGTGATGGTGACCTTTCATCGTCAGTTGACACGGGACACTAATTACCTTTGTCAGTGAAGTGTCTTTGGAACAATATACAATCTGATAACAATAATGGAGTCAATGATTTGTATTTACTCAGAAACTTGGACAATGTCATTTCCTCCAATTAGCGCAATCATCCATGCATTAAATTAGTTTTTTTGCCTTTCACCAAAAAAACTAATTAGGAGTAATTGTCAGGAATCAATCAGTCAACAGAATGAACCTTCAATGAAGCGTGGTCAAAACTAAAAAGTAAATAAATAAATAAGTGACACAAATGGCATCAACACAGTTTAACCTCAGGGGACTGTTTGATGAACTGAAAAGACAACAGAGAAGCGTGCATTTTGCTGTAATTTAAAGTTATATAAAATATTTATTGACATTCATCTTAAGCTTTTTCACAAAAAAGTTTATTTGAACTACAAAATCTAAGTATTAATTCTTTTTATTTAGATAGTCCTTTAGACAGTTCAGTAACTTAAATTATCCCCATGGGCAGTAAATAACCGTGTAAACTAAGCACTTTTGCAGTCCGATTTTATATTTGCACAATTTATAAAGTATGAATATACAGTACAGGTTTATAGTGTTTATAATAGCTTGTATCACACACAGACGCCTACACTTTTAAGCAACAATTCAAAATAACTACTTTTTATTGTTTTTAAAACACAATTATAGTTACTTATAGTAACAAAGAGTTTGATATTTTTATATAAGTATTACTTGCGCCAACTAGCAAAAATAAATTCATATGCTAAAAGGGTGTTTTAGTAAAACCTCCACATGTCAACAACTCACAGCCGTTTCACACCGAGATACTGTCTCTTTAAGGCAATATATATATTTTTTTAATACAAGTGACAGAAGAAATAGCAAATCAACGACGAGGAAGTTTACGTCCTCAACCAATGAAAAGCTGCCATCATCCAATTAGAAACGCCCCTCATTACGTTAGCTTGAACTCTGTTTTTCCTGTCAAACCCAAGCTAGCTAGCTGTACTGACGCCTAACGTTGTTTTTAATTTAGCAAAAAATGTTTGAGTAACGAGTTAGCATCTGTTTTAAAAGGACACTTACAAATCTGAACTAAATTCGGTGAGTTAAATCGCTAAGCTTTCCCTACGTGCAGGAGGCTAAAGGACCAACTAAGAAGTTAGCAACGTCAACACAAGCTGGTACGCTAACGCTAACGCAAATTGTTTAAGCAAAGAGACGATTTCTTTCTGGAAGTKTTGGAAGTTTGGACTTTAATTGTTAAACCTTAATCTATCGAACATAATTTTAACCATAACTTGAGGTGTCAAATAGAAATACGCTTGTTTTTGTTGCCAAACGTAGGGTTATGTTAGCAAAAATGTTTGCTAATGTAGCCCTGCATCCCTAGTTTTAACCAATGATGTTCTGTCATAAAAATAATGAAGTATCCCTAGTTGATTTATTGTATTATCATGACACTGTTACCGGCTACATAAGCTAGTCGAAACGTCTACGTCGATACAGCATAGTACTTCATAAAAACAGCTAGGTTAGCTAACTAAGCTATTTCAAATTAGTTTTCAAAACTAATGGTAGTCACGTAGCGTATTCACAGCTGTACACATTGTTTCATTTGTGTTCAAGGTCTTATAAATACGTATTAAATGTCAGTTTTAGTATCATGTAATGCTAGAGTCCTATAAAGAAATGTTTAGTTTCCAAGCAGATAATTTGCTTGTTTTTGTGACCATAACTACAATAGCAATCATTTATTTAATGTTTTCTTTCTACAACAGCAGTGGATGGACTCATCTTTTTACGGTTTCAGATCTGGTTATGCAAAAGGGACACCAATCCGTACCCATGAATGAGGAATGAACCTGAACCCCTTCTGGAGCATGTCTGCCAACACAAGTCGTAAGGTAAAATAGAGGGGAAAAAAAATCATATTCACATTAAACTGTTGATTGATAACAGGGGTAAGTGAAAACAATGTGGGTGCCATCTGAGCTATTGCACGCTGGACCGGCTCTTTACCCTTGCTAGGGTGAGAGTCACACTCTACCAGGTTTGTCCATAGTCACTGCRCTAGTTGAGGTTGTTAGGTCATGTGATAATGATGTCCCCTGGACGCCTCTCTAAGGAGGTGTCCCTGACATGGAAAAAACAAAAACATGTATGATCATAAACTGAGCCCACTGGCCAAATGTAACCCTTGAGCTCATTCGATCTGTCCCACACAGTGTTAAAGTATTTGAAAAATGTGGGTGTGACCACACGCAGAATGACAGCAGAACACATGCTGTGATGGCTCACAAAGGTATGAAAAGTTGCATGCAAGACATTTGGGTTTGTACCCATGCGAGCCGTTATTTTTGTTTTGCCTACTTTGGCTAAGTGCTAAAAACATACTGGATGACGCTGAAGTACAAAGAATCTTTAAGGCGCAGTTTTAGTTATCTAAATTCGCTTGGGTGTAAGGACAAATCCCAGTAAATTTACTTGCATCTGTGTTAGGTTGGCAATGTTTTTAAACATAACACCTGAGCAGATATTGTGAGAAACGAAATCCGCCTTCAAACAGTTCGGCTCTCTGAAACATTTGTTTCAGTCACATGTTCATTTGCATCATTTATGATCTTCGTTTTGTTTAGGTTCAGCAGGATTCTGTGGATTTCTGGTACTTTTGGTCTTTCTGACGCTCAGTTCTCTGTGCGTACAGTGACGCTGTGTAACCGTTTCCCCCAGGATCATGGGAAGATGCGGTGATAACTGTGCCTGCTGGTGTCTAGACTTGGCTTCCTGATTAGCCTCAAGGCAGTCAAGCAGTGTAACCTCATGACCCCCAACCCCGTGCCACTGGTCAACACTCAAATCCTGTTGCCCTGTCTAAACTGAATATGATTTATTTTTCCTTTTGTCACGGATTTATTATTTTTTCTATCAAACTGGGGATTTTATTTTATTTTTTTTACCAGTCTGTGATGTGACCCTTGTTGTGTTCTCTTTATAAACTGGCAGAGATCTGATGAGGAGCAGAGCGGGCACACAGACCAGAGAGCCAGCCCAGCCCGGACTTCTCACAAAAAGCACCTTCCACCAATTCCTAAAAATGCAGTCCCTGTTAGCAAACCAGCATCGATGGGCACTRCAGCTCACTCAGCCAATGGCTTACATGCGTCCTATGGCCCCTTTTATCTGGAGTACTCTCTGCTGGCTGAGTTGTAAGTACTTGTCTGACAATGAAATGTTAATTTTCATTTAGATTGTTTTTATTATGTTGTTTACGATTTCCTGTTGCTCCAATATGCTGGTAGAGTTTCATTTTAAAGAATGTAGGAAAACTGTTTTTTCATACGTCCTCCTTGTCTACAGCACACTAGTGATTAAACAGAAACTCCCTGGAATTTATGTCCAGCCATCATACAAGTCGGCACTAAGTAAGAATCTCGTTTTTAAGTCTCAAAGCATTCCGTTATATAAATGTCTGCTTTTATCTGAATTGTTCCATAATATTAACTCTGGAAGTGATATGAGTGAATGGTGTGTAATGTCAAATGTCTCCTGTTCAGTGTGGTTTGGAGTCATATTCATCAGGCATGGTTTATACCAAGATGGTGTCTTCAAATTCACCATATATATTCCAGACAACTATCCAGATGGGGAATGTCCCGTAAGTTTTCTTATTCTTGTTTTTTTTTGTTTTTTTTTTCAGGTTCTGTAATTTTCTGGGAATAAGTGTCACATGGAAATATAAATTTCTCCAAGTCCGTCCGTACTGCTGACTATTGTAAAATAAGTGACACTTCTTAAAGTAATAAGCGTTCTTTAAGCACTGATCATAGAAAGGATGATGTGCAATAAAACTGATGTTTGACATTGCTTAAAAGAAAATTGAGACAAACCATTTCAAATTATTCCTTTCAGAAACTGGTATTTGACATCCCAGTCTTCCATCCCCTGGTTGACCCCATGTCAGGGGAGCTTGATGTTAAAAGAGCTTTCACCAAATGGAGGTAATTTTTTTTTTTTTTTCAAAACTGTTAATGAATTCAGTGGAGATATTGTGTTATGTAGTTGTTTACTCTTGTATTGCTTGACCTCTCAGCTCTGTGTTCTTTTAGCAAATGTTTATGTAGGAAATTCCTGTTAAGGAGATTGATCTCAACTATATCAAACTGAATTAATCCAATTTACTTGTCAGTTATTCATTTTAAATTGAAATAAATTAACTTTATTTTATCAATATGCTAGCTAGTACAAAGCATGCTATCCTTTTCTGATTGAAGTTTGTTGCTGGGATTGGAAAAGTGTTTAATTTGCTTTGTTCCCAATAAGTCAGGGGTGGGCATGTTTTACTTGTTTCTCTGCTTCAGCATACCTGATTTGAATGAATGTGATTATCAGGCTTCTGCAGAACTTGGAAGAGACAATTCAGTGACTAAATCAACTGTGTTGGAGTAGGGGAAAAAAGTAAAACATGCAGGGCTGTGGCTCTCGATGACTGGGAATGCCCACCCCTGCTATAAGTAGACATAAACTGTTAAATTTACCCTTTACTATTGATAAATATCAAACTGTTATCATTCTGTTTGGCTAAAAAGCTCTAAAATGTGCTGTAATTTTTCTAAATTAATTGGATTTAATGTACTTCCTGAACTTCAGTTTGTTAAAATATCTTTGAAGAAAGCAAAAAGCCACATCTAAGCAGACACCAATCGATCACAGTTTTCTTATTGTTACACTTATGACTGCATGAGTAAGAATTCCTCAGGGTCTAAAGGTCTGGAATGAGAGTGTTACATCAGTTGTCTTTCATAAATCGAATCGTATGGTGAATTGTTAAGAGTGCTAAACTTTTGTAAAGTTAGTTAAATGTTTGGTAACTCAACTGATATCATGGAAAGCTTGTGATTTAAAAAAAAATGAAAATATCGTTCTTTTTTCTTCTTACAGGCGGAATCACAACCACATCTGGCATGTCCTGATGTATGCGCGTACAATTTTTTACAAGATCAATACAACAGAGCCACTCAACCCAGAAGCTGCTGTGCTGTAAGATTTTGGGCATCTTCTCTGTTTTTCTTTTTTTTAAATCTTAATTAAGACTCCGTAACAACTTATCCATGAATGCATTTTAGTAATCAGATTTTTTTTGTTACCAACTGTTCTATAATATAAATACAACTCAGACTCAGTAACACAGTCTTTGATCCAGTAATTTGCTGATTGACGACTTGATACGAGTCCAAAGTTCTGCAGTGGTGAAAATCTACTTTTGTCAGTTCGTTATGCAGATGGTTGTGGTTTTTATTAAGAAAAATGTCAGCATCTTCTACTTGTTGCTTTGAAACATAAAATATATATATATATTATATGCTCTCAGGTATGAGAAAGATGTGCAGCTGTTCAAAAGCAAAGTGGTAGACAGCGTTAAACTATGCAACAGTCATCTTTTTGACCAGCCCAAGATTGATGATCCCTACGCAATAAGGTTAGACATTTGTTGACACATTTCTGTGCTAAACAGTAAAAGAAAACACACTCTGAATTTCTATTAGTGTGTGTGAAGACAAATAAACTAAAAGGAAGCAAAGATTTATGRCTCATTTCACTTTGATTTGGTTTTAGTTTTTCTCCATGGAACCCAGCAGTTCATGAAGAGGCAAAGGAGAAGATGTTCATTCACAAAGTAAGTTGAGTAAAGTGAAAGMAATATCAGTTCTAGTTCAAGCAGCATGGTGCATTTTCTTCACTTTAAGCTGAAGACAACCTTGAGCTTATCACTGGTTTGACTGTTGCATAACCGTGCAACATTTGTTTTCCCTCCCTTTTTGTCGCCTCAGAGACGGCCCGATGAACACCACAGGGGAACACAGGTGTCGGGGTTATCTTGGGTAAAGCCTGGTTCTACCCAGCCCTTCAGCAAAGAGGAAAGTCCTCCCCAGAGTTGAACCTGCACTGTGGCCACTAGAGGGAGATACAAACATTCAAAGCTGCTGGCTTGCCTCCCTCCCCCCCCCCCCTTTTTTTCCTGTTTTGAATGAAGTGGAACCTTGCAATGGTTGGGAGTACTTTGTTCTCCACCTTATTTCTCAGCTTTAAAAGCTTTCTTAGCATTACATGACAAAGCTCTAGATTAAGTGAAACTGGTTTTGTATCATCTGTAAATTCACAATGACAAATGGATGTCTCAACTCAATTCAGGCTGTGATGCAAATCAGTGCTTTTTCATTCATCCCACAGCCCATGCACATTTGGTTAAGCAGTAAGGTTAGGCCCCAAAAAGAAGTGAAAGTGAAGCACTTTTTATACATGTGGTATGTGTGGTGGACTGCATGGTGAATACCACTTGTTGAAACTGGTTTAGGACTGTTTGTCAGACTGGGAATGTTGTCAACTACAGCTCTGAATGAAACCTCCTAATCCCACCCTCCCCCAGTACAGTCTGAGATAACGTTTTCTCTTTCTTACTGAAGAGCAAATTTTTTTGGTGTTGTTTTTATTGTGTAAACTATTTTTTGTAGCTTCTAATATATTAATGTTTAAAGCAGAACAGGCAGCAAGTATGGGTTTTAAATCAAATGCTTCATAAGTAAGCTCATTTTATTTTGTTGGATTTTAAATCATTTTGAATGCTTTTTTTGTTTTGGGTATTAAAGGTCTATTGTGTAAATAATGGATGCTGTGATAAAGTTTGATTTCCATTGGTTTTCTTCTTTTTTATAGGTAAGCTGAGATCCCAAGTCACAGATCATCCTGCAGGATTTCTATTTTAAGTTTGAGAGTAAATAATGTATTTTGATAAGGTTTAGTTGTCCAACACTATCTGAGGAGTGCAACATTTTAATGTACAAAATTTAAGATATTAAACTTAAATTTTATTGCATTCTGTTTGTGTGTACTGGATTTTGTGTTCTAATGAAAAATCAGGTTTGAAGATAAAAAATAGCTCATTTTGCTTTCGTGAAACTGTTGCTGGGGGACTGGTATGTGCAAGTCCCATAAGTAATGACCATATTAGCATAGCAGATAAGGTGCTGAAACCTGTTAGACCTACATATACCTCCTGAGAAAGGCAGTGACTAATTATAATGTGCTCCACTTACGATCATTAGACTGTGCATCTTCAAACATTAGTGATGTATTTTGTATGTAACTGTCCCTTTTCTACTGCTTAAATGATGAGGGAAATAAATCTTTACTTTGAGAGCAAAGTCACTTTATTTTTTTTAAATGAAACTTAAATTGGGCAAATGTTATTTTATCTTATGAAAGRTATGCGTTGCAAATCATTAAACAAAAAAAGCTTATCCTTAGCTATATCAAATGGTGCAGTTTAGTAAATCCTGTAGTTTTGCAGATATATGGTTATGCAATCTTGAAATGTGGATAGGCACTCAGTGTAAGCAAAACTCTTGCCTGCATATTTTTCTCACTGTTTTCAGTCATTTTGTTTCTGTAAGAAAAACAAAAACAGTGGCATCTGTTTTGAAATTTTGCTTACAAAATTTGAATTTGACCTTTTTTATGACATTGTAATAAGTACCTAAAATAACTACTTCGCCTGATAAATGCTTGAGTGCCACTGGTGTTAGGAATGCCATTTATATTGTCTAATCTCTTTTCTGCTGTAAAACAATAAATTATCGAGTACTTAACGTATATAGTAAAAAGATAATATTGTTTTTGAAAACCAAATAAAAACTTTTATTACATTTGTTGTAACGTTTTACAATGGTATGTCGCTCCTGCATTTAGCCACCAGAGGTCGCTATATCCTCGCTGTAGAGACGCCGCTCCGGCTCCTGTCACGTTCGCACGGAGAGAATCCGGTCCATGTGCGAAAAGTAAAACCTCTCCTGATTGGCTGCGGCTCGGACGCGGCCATCTTATGCACTCTTGTCAACACGGCCACTTTTACAGCTGATATCATGATCGAATCAGCCGGTCTCTGGGGTCAGTCGGGGTGCCGCGGACCCTCGAATACACACGCGGGAAGAGTCTGCTTTTAATTGTGTCTGAATTCGTGACACTTTGGCAAATTGTCGCTTGTCCAATCACAGGGGGGGTCACTAATATGCAAATACGGCGTTATCAGAGTCACGTCAGCARCGGCAGCAGAGCCGCTGTGCCGCGGTCGCCAGCAGGAGTACAACTAAACAACACAGCTACAACTTCGTCGATAACATCCCGTTTATATCGACGCCCGGAGTTGGGCTTTATGGTTAGTTTGAGGTAAGAAATAACACTCGTCTTGTTTGTTTGGTTGTATTGACTTCGGACTCGAAGTGGGGTTTGTTTCATTCAGGTTTGGACCTGTCAAATCAGTCGGATATAGTGCGGGGTCGACTCAGCTGATGACACCGCTTTAGCTTTAGTCCTCCCCGGTTAGACACCGGGCTGCTGAGTGGAAGGGGTTCACTTCAAAATGGCTTAAACGCGTTTACTACAAAACATGTCGTTACACTTTTAGAGTTATTAAAGTGAAGAAACAAATAGCTACGTGTTGGTTTCGAAGTGGCTCCTGTGGTCCTGAACTGACAGCGACCAAACTGGGCTCAGTCAGAACCAGCTCAACAAATAATGGACGTCGTTAAGAGTAAAAGCGGGACTAGTTTGGTTTTATTTGAAGTGAAAACGAAAGTCAGTCGAAGACGACTAACTTAGTTAGCCGTGTTGTCACGGACACCCTCGCTGACGACCTCTCCATCTATCTCCGGCCTCCTCCCTCCTCCTCCTCCCCCCAGTCCGTCCGTGTCTTCAGCCGTGGGAAACGTCACGACACCTTCTTTCCATAATCCAGAGAGAATGTTCGGCTCGAGGGCCACGTGCGCTTAGTTTAAAATGCGCATTCAAACGAGTTTCTGCTCAGCTGGAAAAAGTAAGCGCAACGCGTCGGTGCGTACAGAAGCAGCGCGCGGGCAAGAGCTGAAGCCATTTCTGCTGGGAAAAGACGGCGAAGACGCGACTTTTTTTTTTTTTTAACCACAGAGTGCAGGTCAGTTTCTTCAGATAAAGCTACGAAAACACAAAAGTGCGTCGAGAAACGTGAACCAGTGGGAAGACATTAATATAATAATAAAATAAAACTTAAGTGGCTAATGAGCGCGGTGGTCGTATAGCCAGCGTCGCAGTTTTAAAAAAATGCGCACAAGTTGCTTTATGTAGTTTTTAAGTTTCTCTACCGGGTTGGGTGGACAATTATTTTGTTGATATGCGGACGAGTTGCACGTGCCTGGAAGGCGCGTGCAGCGTTATGGAGGAAACAGCTGGAAACCAGGCGGAAAAGGGGAACGCTGCGCCCCACGGTCAGCTGGAACGTGTTCAAATTTAGTGACTTGGACCTGCTGTTCAAAGCAGCTCAGCACGTGGGCCTATATATGTGTTTTTTTTTTTTTAACTTTCAAGCTTTATGACACTAATTTTATACGCTTCAGAATCAATATAAATGCTTTTTTTTTAACCTCAACTTTTAATTTAGTCTGGTTCTCATATCTGGTTTGATGGGCCCTGTTTACCAGATTAGAGAATATATTTGCTTTGAAACTATCAAACAGGATATGAATGCTTATGTGTTAATTTATTTTGCTAGGGCTACAAGGGGGAAAAAAGGGACACAAGCAATTGATTGTGTACTGATTTTTTGTTTGTTTGGGACCAGCCCGGTGTCATTCCAAATGATCGGTGCACATGAGTACATCATTGTTAGACAAGTTCCTGGCTCTCGCTGTGCTGTGCCAAATTACAACAAACATTGGCAAGGGAGTTTTCCCAAATGCACAGAAATATAGGGAATTTGAAGTTTGCAAACAGAAGTGCTCAGTTTTGCACATGAACTGTTTGCTGGTTGGTTGAAAGCAGTCAACGGTGACGATGCCCAAAAAATGAAATCAATACATTTTTGGCTGGTTTGGATTTAGTCTAGGAAGCTTATCTCCAATGCAAAGGAGCAATCCACTCACCGGCCACTTTATTAGGTACACCACGCTAGTAACGGGTTGGACCCCCTTTTGCCTTCAGAACTGCCTCAATTCTTCGTGGCRTAGATTCAACAAGGTGCTGGAAGCATTCCTCAGAGATTTTGGTCCATATTGACATGATGGCATCACACAGTTGCYGCAGATTTGTCGGCTGCACATCCATGATGTGAATCTCCCGTTCCACCACATCCCAAAGATGCTCTATTGGATTGAGATCTGGTGACTGTGGAGGCCATTTGAGTACAGTGAACTCATTGTCATGTTCAAGAAACCAGTCTGAGATGATTCCAGCTTTATGACATGGTGCATTATCCTGCTGAAAGTAGCCATCAGATGTTGGGTACATTGTGGTCATAAAGGGATGGACATGGTCAGCAACAATACTCAGGTAGGCTGTGGCGTTGCAACGATGCTCAATTGGTACCAAGGGGCCCAAAGAGTGCCAAGAAAAGATTCCCCACACCATGACACCACCACCACCAGCCTGAACCGTTGATACAAGGCAGGATGGATCCATGCGTTCATGTTGTTGACGCCAAATTCTGACCCTACCATCCGAATGTCGCAGCAGAAGTCGAGACTCATCAGACCAGGCAACGTTTTTCCAATCTTCTCTTGTCCAATTTCGATGAGCTTGTGCAAATTGTAGCCTCAGYTTCCTGTTCTTAGCTGAAAGGAGTGGCACCCGGTGTGGTCTTCTGCTGCTGAAGCCCATCTGCCTCAAAGTTCGACGTACTGTGCGTTCAGAGATGCTCTTCTGCCTACCTTGGTTGTAACGGGTGGTTATTTGAGTCACTGTTGCCTTTCTATCAGCTCGAACCAGTCTGCCCATTCTCCAGTGACCTCTAGCATCAACAAGGCATTTCCGCCCACAGGACTGCCGCTCACTGGATGTTTTTTCTTTTTCGGACCATTCTCTGTAAACCCTAGAGATGGTTGTGCGTGAAAATCCCAGTAGATCAGCAGTTTCTGAAATACTCAGACCAGCCCTTCTGGCACCAACAACCATGCCACATTCAAAGGCACTCAAATCACCTTTCTTCCCCATACTGATGCTCGGTTTGAACTGCAGGAGATTGTCTTGACCATGTCTACATGCCTAAATGCACTGAGTTGCTGCCATGTGATTGGCTGATTAGAAATTAAGTGTTAACGAGCAGTTGGACAGGTGTACCTAATAAAGTGGCCGGTGAGTGTGTGTGGTTAAAATACATTATAATTTTAGCCAAGCCACACTGCCTGATCCATATACTCTGAGAAGTTGATGGAAGGACGACACAACGTTCTGGCCAAACATAGATCACATTGATATTGAGAGTTCTAATTGAATCTCTGTTTTTTTTTTTTTTTCACCAGGCAGTTGCTGGAGGCCTACAGATCACTAGAAATGTAATATAGCATAAACATATAATGATTTCTAATCTCTATTCTTCCTAGCACTTCCCTAGGTATAAAAGGTTACACATATTGAGATCTTTGTATTTTCTTTTTTCAGTATCAGTCCATATCACCATGTATCAAGAATAGCGTGAGTTTGTAGGGGATGGACGGCAGAATTGCATCTGCCCAAAGATGAAAAATCTAATTTACCTGAACGCCACAGACACAGATCGAAATCGTAGGATTTTTGATGCATTTCAGCCATTTGTGTCCCTGACAACAGCCATCATTTTCCCCGACACTGAAGCTTTTTGAATCCAGGTCTCTCAGTGAAGGTTTTTTGCAATTGCCTGGCAATGGTGTGAACTACAAACCGCTGCAGTCCATTTTTTATTTTAATTATTTTTTGTACTCGTGTGTGTATAGATAAGCAACAGTAACAATGGTGGTTAACAGAGTGCTGTGAGATTTAAATACTTAGCAGAGATATTTTAGCTCAGTTTAAGGCCCTGTCACTGTAATGTTTTAGGTTAGATGACCCTCAAATAGTTATTTCACTTAGTAAAACTTGAGTACTCATAGCTTATTTTTGCTTTTTTTTATCCCTTGGATCTCAATAATTTAGCTCTTCTTTGCAAAAAAATTCATATTGTTTGGTAGGCTACTAAATGCCTCCTTAAGTGGTACTAACTGAAAAGTCAACTTTTTATATTGAGTTGAGGCAAAAGAGTTGGTTCCTTAAAAGAGCTATAACTCCACTGTAGGGTTGGACATAATCGTGTTGTGAGAAATTAATCGTCAGAAAAAACATTAATCGATTATTTGTTGGCACTTGACGATTAATACGATTAACGCCACCAGGCAGAGTCCGCTCGGTGCTCCTCTCCACTTCAAATATCACAAACATTGAAAATAAAGTTCTGTATTTATTTATCTATCAATACAATTTTAAATTTGATGTAAAGCCTGACGTCTGTAATTTTGACACAATTTGGAACAGATTTTTACTAAGAACAAATCTTTCCCACTAAATTGGTCATGTGACGAGGACATAAGAGTGTCCAGGGACTCCAGGGGATTAATTGTCAAATCAGTCGTTATTGGCTAAATACCACAATTAATCGTGATTAATTTTTTTGCCAATGTTGCCAAACCTTACTCCACTACATTTTAAAAACAGTTTAAAACCAATGATCAGAAAATGACATGTCTGCATTGTCCATTTAGTATTTTCGTAGCAACAGCATAACAAAAGAAAACTCTGTTGTGAATCGTAACATTGAAACATTGCCAAAGCTGAAAACAGGAATAGCTTCATGCTTAAGTGACATTTTTTCCCTCATGGGACTGATAGCTGTGTTGAGAGTGACGTTTGACCAGCTTATGTGACAGTATCCCAAGATAGGTTTTGATCCTCCATCTAGTTTTTTTTTTTTGTGACTTATTTTATTAAATTGATGGTTAATTTTAATTCTAGCTTTTAAAATTGTATTAGTTTAAACTTATTTCAAATTATTTTAAACTAGTGAACCATTAAGTTCAAAGTGGAATGTTGCTTTGGTACAAATTATTTAATTTATTTCAGTTAGAATGTTCACATTTTGTTAAACACTGAAAGCAACATAATCACAATGTAAAACAGTGTGTCTCAGTCATTCATGATTTTCTGTTGCTCTGATTGCAATTCCAATTCTGTCACGTTTCAGGTTCATGTCTGAATGACTCTCCTAGTGGTTAGATGGCAAGTAAAGCGTAAGAGAAAGGTTAAAACTGAAGGTTTTAGCAYGATAGTGAAGCTTGGTAGCTCTCTTTTATGGGCATGTATCTGCTACAAATGTGGTTTAATGTTTTGAATGGAAGTTTTGACACAGAATTGCTGATACGACTGTGAATGTGCAGAGCAGGCAGTAATGTTTAGAAAGCCATCGAGTGGGTGGGAATGGGATTAAGAAAACCGTTCTGGTCAGGGTTGTAGTCTGAACATTAGCTAATTGACACACACACACTCAAGTCATAGTTTGGTCTAGAATCTGCTGTGCAGAAGAATCCTTCAATTTCCATCACTAAATAATTAATTTTTTGTCAATCTTTCTATTTGTTTTCATTCATTTCTACAGATGATTAATTTAATTATTTTAGAGAACTAAAAACTACAACTTTCCTAATTTTTTTCTTTGTTGCACTCTACTGTCTCCTTTTGTGACACACACAGAACAAGCACCAATTCATACAACTGTTAAAGGCTGGTCTTGATATGCCCAGTTCTTTCTGTGTTGATGTCATGTGATCCAGCCTTGACTGGCAACAGAAGCAGTCACAGAATCAAACATAGAGAGAGCTGACACCAGAACTCAAAAGTGAGATGTGGCAATGACGTATGGCGGGTGTCTAATTCTGGTCCTTAAAGGTCAATTTCCGGCATGTAATAGAGGTCTCTTTGCTCCAACACACCTGATTTGAGTGAGTGGGCAATTAGCAGGCTTCTGCAGAACTTGAAGAGGTAATTGAAATTGCTCGATCAGGAACGTTGGAGCAGGGAAACATGTACAACATGCAGGATAGTGGCCCTAGGACCAGGATTGGACACTCCTGATTTAAGGTGTTTTTATGATCAGCTGATTGCAGGATTTAGGTATGAACAATCAGCAAAATATTAAACATTTCACTGAATAACTTTGCTTTTAATTTTTAATGCATTATATGTATTTGAACTGGCAGCCTGATGCACAACTTGTGTATTAAGAGTTTCTCACCACAATATTCTTGATTTTGTGATGTGTTGTAAAAGCACACATTATTGCAGGACTTGGTTAGCTTAACTGGCTTATGTAAACGTCCAAATGGACCTTAGGGACTTGGGGAGGGGGGTGGGGGGTGGGGGGTCAACGGTGCAACTATATAACCAAACCAGAATGTTAAAAAAACTGCAGACAGGACATAAAAAAGAGATGTAAAAATAAGGTTAAACGAAAAGCACTTTTCATGTGTGTAGCTTTTTTTAAAATCATTGTGAACTAAATATATTTTTTGAACATCAATACTTTACTGTTACATTTTATCTCAGAAATCAAAGTATGACAGACATAATTTGCGTCATTTTTATGTACAAGTCTGAATTGCTGCTATCACATTAAGACTAACATGCACTGTAGATGTGTATTCAGTTTTATTCTGATCAGCTATTCAGAGGACTGCAAACAATTTATTAATAAAATAGAACCATCCAGTGTAGCATATTTCTGTGGACTTGTTGGTCATCACCTGCTGCCATGAAAGGCTGGCAACCACGTCTGTGTTTGTCTGTCTATTACCAAAGTTTCTCATGAACCACCGGTAGTATTTAACCTCGGAGAAATAAATGTACATCTACATTTGATTAACGTTTGGAATCAACCTGATTCAAGATGACCACCACATCTAATCTACCTTATCAAACACAAACAAAAAAATGATGTCACTCAGATTTACTGATATTGATTTAAATCTTTTGCAGCATTTGTTGTGGTAAAATTTGCGGTAACTGAAAAAGTTGTCACTCACACATAATCTAGTTACTAACACTTCACATTTAACACACTTAAAAAAAGTTTGACATGCAAGGTGGTTGTTAATCTGAAATGAAGGAACCATGTTTACATTTGATATGAAGTTTTCTAAYGAAATGCTTTAAAGACAACCAAATCTGAGAATTTACTTTTAAGATATTATGCAGTTTTATCTCATACAGGAATCACAGTGCAGTATCCTTTTTAATTAAGTAAACAAAAGTCCTTGTCTGATGGTTACCATGCTCTCACAGTAGGCTAATTAAACACTGATGAGCATAGGTTGCAATCTTTTGTTTGTCACATAAGTAAATTTCGCTGTAATTTGCAGTTTTGCTGATCGTTCAGTGTCAATAGTTGGTTGGGACTTGCACATAAAAAGCCAAGAATGTCTTAAAAGAAATCACATTTGAACATTTTTTTTTCACTTTGCATTTTGAGACAATGGCAGTAATGAAAACAATTAAATGCCTTGTTGGTGCTGATTATTTCACAGCTTACAGTGGTAATTATTTGTCTGTTGTCTGTAAACAAAAAAAAATACACTATAAAATTCACAGTGCATGCAGGTCACACACTGATATTTTTATACAATTTTATTTTGATCATGCAAGTTAGGGAAAACTAAAAATAAACCTGCAAAGAGCAGTGGATGCCCGTCTCACCCTGGCAGCACTCCTGCCTGGCAGTAAGCACTACCACCTCTATACAAAAACATTTCCTCTAGGATGTGTTTATTGATGTAAGAGCTGGGAAGATCATATGAGTTATTATAATTTAGTTGTTTTATGATGAGAAATCAAAGTTTGAGGTCTAGCCACACCTACTTGCTATGATGAAAACTCTAGCCTTAAAAGTAAATTTATCAAGTTTGAAGTTGATACTTTAAAATCTCCAAGAAGAGTTCCCTCAAATAAATGCGTTATTCCCTACATTTGTCTTTGTTTGAAACTGGCAATTTCCTGTTGGGTTTAGAGTTCTGTGTACCAAATTCCAGACGTGTAAAGGTCCCATCACACTAACTTTTTAGACAACTTCTGTCATCTTATGGAAATTTGTCTAACGCTGAAAATGTCTACACTGAATATGTAATTAAAAAAATCTACTGGACCTGTGCCTATTGTAATGCCAATGAGTTGAACAAATGTATAACTGATAGGAGTAATTCATTTGTAACAATGTTCACTAGTTGGCATACATTGTCTAAAACTTTATAGTGTGACACGGCTTTTAGTAAAAATAGATTTTGGGGCTGCAAAAAAGTCAAGCTTTTTTTTGTCCCATTTGTTTCTTAGACCCTTATGACATAAATTTTGACTTATTTTAAGGTTCTCAAMATTTCACACGTTTTTATTTATTTTTTTATTTTGTAAAGCCTTCTGAAAGGCCATTCATTTGGTTTAATAAYAATAAGAAACACTGATTTTCTGTAGACCTTTGCACTGCCTTTTGAAGCTACAGGCCTTAAGGTAGTCACTGAGTTGAGTCAACCTTTGACAACAGAGCTCCTCTCTAACCAGCAGACCTGATGTCACTCTGCCAATTCCTTGATGCCAAATTTGACGTGTGTAAGCACATCCTGACATGATGACCTGCCTTTCTCTGGCACCTGCAAATTAACATTTGAACAAATTACACTAGGACAGTATTTTCATTTGTTTTTGCTGGTTAGACATAATCAGTGTGGAAAGAAAGTTAAGTTACCTGGGAAAGATGTACTGTCAGACAAAGGTCAACCAACAAATTTAATGTGAAACAATGGGCATTGCTCAAACACAGGTGAATGCATTTGTATCTGTAAATAGCACCTATGTACCCTAATTGAGTTTGAGGCTGAGTAAACAGCTTGTGGCAGAAGTCAACAATTTTTACATTTCTATTAATGTTTTCAGGGATGGCTTTGTGTATCAATAAARATATTTGTGTTGAAAAACCAGCATATTTGGTTGTATACATTTTTGTTTAAGTTGATTTTCTGCAGTTTGAATCGTAGATTGGACAAACTGTACCTTTACCTTCATTTGGATACAGGAGAAATATCTGTGTTTGTGTTTCTCTGTGCAAGTCAGCACATAATGATTGACTTGGGAAAGCTTCTGTCATCTTCCGCTGGCCTGTGGTTACAGAACATTTAAACGCACGTGCTCAGAGAGCCTTTGCAGCCTCTGCCCTTTGCTGTTGAAATCCTATCAGCTGCCTGCACCTCCCACACAATCTCCAGTAGCAGGGCAGGCAACTTCAATGCTTTCGTAGGTGGGGGGTTGAGGTGCATGTGTCTGTGTGTGTCAGCGTGTGTGAAGGGGGTGGGGGTACAGGAAGAGGCACCTTGTGGTGGCTGGCAGTTGGTTTACACCAGCTGCTTTGCTGCACACATGAAAGGCAGTGCTGATTGGTGACTGTACAAATTTTGTAAACTGTAAATAGAAAAATAAATATGCATTCATTACAAACTGATTGAAAATGATCGCTTTGTAAGTTGCATTGTGTTACGGATCATCATAATAATTTAAAAATGAATGTTTTCTTTTATGAGTTAATGTTGCATTTCATTATACATATTTTTTCTTCTTACTCTTGCAGGTATGTACTATAATGGACATGCTGTGATTCTGTAGACTGGCTCATCTGCACCATCTTGAAGTTGGTGGTGTTTCCAAAGTTCCTGTCACCTTTTGACATCTGCCATGGACTTCTTTGATGACCCCAACCTCTTTGTTGGAGGTTTGGAAGGGCTGGAGGAGGATGGCTTCTCTTCAGCACCATCCCTTGTGGATGAGCTAAATCTCAGTGCTGACTTTGAACCTGTCCAGGTGGCCTCACTTGGCACAAGAAAGCATCACGACTTGATGTCACCAGCCTCGTCCCAACAAGGCTTACCCAGTTACAATCAGCCGATGACCCAATACATTGGCACAAAGGCACAGAATTCTGTGGGGCAAGCATTTTCTGGTTCTCGTAGCACAGGGTGTAACATGATTGCAGAGCAGCATGGCCAGTACCATAATGCCACCATTAGCCAAATACCTCAATCCAATGGGTTGTTCTGCAACAATGGAAGTCCAGTGTGGAGCAGCCATGACCAAAATGGAAATGTGTTCCACCCTTTGTCTCAACAGCAGCAACAGGTTTGCCATCAGCAACTGCACAACCAACAACTTCATGTCAGGCAACATCCTCCACACCATGTTGGTCATCATCAGCCGGAGGAGCAGCAGCACAGAATGCGGCTGCAACAGCTGCAGCAACGGCACAATCATCCACAACAGCTGTTAAACCAGCACCAACAAATTGGCACACAGAATATCTCCCTGCTGCAACAGCAACATCACAATTTCTCCTTTCACCAAGGAGGTCAAGCCAGCAACCATCAGCAATTGCTCCATTCTCAACAGCAGGTTCAGCATCGACTACCTGCAAGAGAACCACAGTTTCATTCCAGGTCTCTTCCAAATAAGTCATGTTTGGAAAGTCAGAATGCATCTCAGAGTGGGACCTGCTTGCAGCAACAGGGTAGCTACCAGTTGCCCAGAAGAGGTCAAGCCTTCTCTGGGTCAGGACTGGAAGACTCTCACATGTCATTTCCCATTCATTCATCATCTGTAGTTCACTCACTGACAACATGTTCTGCTAATGCTTACCAACCGACTGAGTACCCTACCTACCCTGGAGAACCAGAAATACCCAGTCTCAGTCAGCAGTCTTTATCCTCAGCCTCAACATGCAGACCCATCGTCTCTGCACCTCATACATCTACAGTTCCTGGGCTATCAGAAGCAACATGTCATTTCCAATCTACAGGACTCATGAGCCAGCTTCACTCTAGAACAACATCTGACCAGGCAGACGAGTGTCCCTTCAGAGCACTACGTTGTCCCGGAGAAACCCAGGGAAAGTCGTCTGAGATGTTTGGTGAATCAGTGAGTTATCCCAGCATTGCTAGCCAGCTGCCCACTGAGCAGCCTCTGAGCTGTAGAACCATCAACACTAATGGATACCAAGCTTTTGGGGACGATTTTCTTCAATCGGAGGCCCAGGATGGAGATTTTGAAGAGCTGGAACCACCTGACCTTTTGCCTGACCTGCTTCCCCAGCTGGAGAATGATTTTAGGGAACAGAACAAGTCCAGCTTTTCATGGATTGAATCTAGCCAGAAGAATGGCCATGAAGACAGAAAACCAACATCTTTTGAAAGCAATGAAGAGAAGGTAAAATGTTTCCTTTTTGTGTGTGTGTGTTAAGAATATATTTCTACACAAGATACTGCAGAAAAACTTTCTGATCCCTGTATTTTCTCTCCCATACTTTTTGCATATTGTGCTTTTTGTCTTTTACTCTGTTTTAAGTTGACTTCCACATTGAGCTTTTTCACAAACAAAACTATTTGCTGTCATCAGAACAGTTTTTCCTCATCTTTGTATATCATGGACTGGTATCAGTCAGTTGTGTAATGCTGAACTGATCTTAGAACATGTGTATTTCTGCTAGGAAACGTGCAATCAGCAATAGAGGGGATGAAGGTAGATATTAGACTATTCATTGAGCAGTTTGAAAGCCTTCTGTAAGTGATAATGGTCTGTCTAGCCTGGCCTGTCTATCTGCCCTGTGCTCCAACAGCAGGTCAGGCCTGATTAGGCTAAGAGTGGCAGGAGTGTCTTCAGGACTTAGCTGTAAGCATACTTAGGGCTATATCAAGATGTGGGTCAGGGCAAGCCAGAGGCACTTGCACACTGCCTCACTGGAGTGTGGGGGAGGTTGCTCGCTGTTGTGGTTGCTGCCACAGTTTCTATGTGTCTCAGTGCGTGAGTGCATGTGCACGTGTGTGAGAGCAAGCGGTAGGAAAAGAGCTCTGTGCAGGAGAGTGGTAAGTGCTTGAGAGAGAGAGAGAGAAAGGGGGAAGAAACTGAGAGATGGAGAGGGCAGTAGCTCATGGAAAAATAAAGGAGAGCTTAGGAAAGAAAGGGAGGGTAAGAGACAGCAAAGAAGAGTATGAGAGGGAGAATAGAAGTGGAGGGGGAGGTTGAGAGAATGCATTGGCTGGCTGGAACAGGCTTCAGGCAGTTCTTGGACCTCAGTTGGCTGGTAAATTAGCTGCATCCATGCAGCTTCCTGAGTGACACATGACCAGCAGCAAATACAGTCAACATTTCATCTTGCTCTGTACATTTAACATACACATAATTTTTTTTAGAAAAGTGTTTTTTTATTTCATTATAATATTAAAATAATGACAAATTACCAGTTTCCACACAAATGACTACAGTTTCATTTTCAGTGACAAAGCTATAATTTCTGAGTGAGGTCCTGTTTTTGGCAGCAGACCTTTTGTGCCCTTTCATTTTTAAAACCAGATATTAGCCTCAGTCATAACACAACTTGTGTGTTGAATAGGGTAACAACAAAGCTGGTCTGCAAACCAGTGCTCTTTCCTTCATCCGCAGAGGTCTTTGACTGAAATGGGGCCTTGAAGCAGAGCCATATGAACTGGCCTCTCCCTGTCTGTGTCAACATCCAGCCCTGTGTTGATGCTTACAGGCTGACTGTGCTATTCATGTGCACTGATGTGTGAAGAGCCTGCTGATACCGTGTTTGCTGAACAKGCAGGACATCAGGGGATAGCAGCCCACTCTTCACTCCCCTGCAGTGAATGTGACTAATTAGGGTTTCCAATTATTGTAATGGTCAGCTGCAGCTGTTTGAGCACTCAGGATTCAACGCAGAATAGTTGTTCTAGGTTTCCGTATTGTATTTTCCAAAAGTTCTTTTTTTTTTGTTTCTCCAGATTTTTGGTACACATTTAGTACAATACTTTTTGAACATTTATAACCACTAGGGGCCTCAAGAAAAGCGAAGCAGTAGAAGTGAGTCCCTTTGTTCTGGATGTTAGTTTGTGTAATATTTGTGTGTTTTCATGTAGTCAGCAGTTTGTTTCAGTTGTGTGTCTGGTCCTGGACTCAAACAGGAAGACTGATGTCTTTGCAAACTCTGCACACTTTGACGAGACTGACAAATGATTGATATGTCATGATTAGGGCTGCCACAAATGATTATTTTAATAATCAATTAATCACAGATTATTTTTTTCGATTAGTCGACTAATCGGATCATACGTTAATTGAATATAAAACATACAGCTTATCGTGCCAGAATGCAGCTGCTATTATATAACTATCATTAGATTTTAGCTGAATGCTAACAAAAAAATAATTGCTGTGGAATTCAAGTTTTGCTCTGCAGATATTACACCGGTTTCTCTTTCTTTTTCTTAAAAAGATCCCACACTTTTGAGCTCCGTTGCCGGATAGCCATGATACTAGAGCCTGTCTGTATAATGTCTTGTAACGTCCACAGCCTACCCTGGTTTCCACTACTGTGCATATGTGGAAGTGTCAAAGCAGTTTAGAGAGAAAAACAAAGTAAAGAACAAAAAAAGAAAAAGATTAATCGATTATTAAATTAGTCATCGATTATTTTAATAATCGATTAGTCGTCAATTAATCGACTAATCGTGGCAGCCCTAGTCATGATTGGTCTGTGTGTGTGTTTTCCCTGGAAGTCAAAAATCAATGACGTGGATGATGGTTGAATATCTTCACCAAATTATTAGTTACTTTTTGATTAATTCTCTAGGGCTACGTTATCATCCTTGTACCATCTTCTTGCTAATGTGTCAATATTTACATCAAAATAAAACAAGTAATTTTTTTATGTGTCTCTTAGACCCTGTTTAGGTGACTCTGTTTTGAAGTGAACCCGTAACATTTTTGTTGCATTTTGGTTATTCATGTGCATCACAACAGTGGTTGTTTTCTCTGGCACTAAAACTTTTCAAATCCAAGTCTCAGGGTTGAAGGTTGCAGAAATGCTCATCTTGTGTGAAACTGCACTACATACATTTAAAGACCAAAGGACAAATTTAAATTAATCTAATTTTTTAATGATTTTATATATACACCATAGACATAAGGATTTTTTTCAGGTTGTCCGCAAAACA